AAGGAAAAATTGTGTTTGTAAATCTTTCCTTGGTACAATAAGTTACCAATAAGAAACTTGAATTTAATGTCTAAAATAAAACATAGTAAAAAAAATCGTTTGACGGAACGTTTCTTTGATATTATTTATAAATAATATTGTTCCCAATTTGTTAACATTTTAATTCATTCTATAAAATTCTAATTTGAATATGAAGCATGTAATATTGCACGAATCGATGAAAATTAATTAAATAATGAAAATTAATCGATGGATAAATTCTGGAAAAGCTTGGACTTTTACCTGCAATGTCCTTGAATTGACTAGCCAGATTTTGCTGGACACCACATATTAGGTGTAGTAAAAAGAAATCCATTATTTTTCCATTCAGTTTCATGCAAAAATAATGGATTTCTTTTTACTACACCTAATATATAAAACAAAGAATTTATTTATCGTTTTTTTATAAGCGCATTAAAGTATTACAATTAAAATATCAAATATTCTAATTATGAAAGAGTTATATTAATGACTGCTTTTTTTTAGATGTACTCAGTGCGCTTCAAGAAATCGAACATGTGGCGTTGCGAAAACCTTCAGTTTTGGAGCCTATAACGGACAACATAGCGGAATTACTTGTATCACCGCAAAGTAATATCAGATCACTCGCTCATAGTCTACTCGCTAGAGCATTGAAATACCGTCCTACATCGAATGCGAACATATTATCGGCGTTTCAAAGGTGCTTGGACAGTCACAGAGCGGATGTCCTTATGTCAGCTTTAGAAAAATTACCGGATATCGTATTATGCATGCAAGGTAGAATGAATTTTTGTAACAAAATAGATTTACGTCAATGTTGAAGTATAACAATAATTTTACAAACTTATAAATCCTTTTCTTTTTACATTGTAGAACACGCTTTACCGTTGCTGCAGAGGGTATTCGAATTGGGAGTAAATTCGAATGTCAACACGATACCTTATATTACTAAGACTATAACTCTGTTAAATACACAGCAAGGTTGTTAATGTCTGGAACTATTAGTTTTGTAAATATTATTTGTAAGACTTTTTTTACAATTAAAATAGAGCAGTGGAAGACTTTTATCTCTTTCCTTCCAACCTGTTTATATTTAAGCTATAAGAAAGGATTGTATTATAAAATATTAGTAATATAATTATTTAAATATAAATGAGAATATAAAATTTTACTTGTGTTTTTTATGACCAATATATACATATATATCTTAAAGTTTAATATAATTGTATGTTTATTGAAAAGCTTCTGAGGGAACGTCATTAACTGAATAGTTTTTCATAAAAGTAATAATCGCGTTTTTTATATTCCACTCTGCATCTTGAAGATATTTATAACAGTATCGAATATTCATTGTAGTAAGTTCACGTAAAAATCTAAGCAGTTGTTCCTTTTCTGTCACGCTGAGTACTGTTGGAATAAATTTAGGTACGACTCTTGGATCAAATCTCACTTCGTTAGTTGCGTTGGGGGGTGTGCCATCAATGTAACATAAATCATTAATAATACAATATTCATTGTCTTCTTTTCGTGTAATAATGAAAGTTCTGTTGAACAGCATGGGTGGACAGAGTCGATATGTAAATAAACCTTGCACAGAAACAGTTAAACAATTATCTTCTTCATACAATAAGTCGATACAAAATGTTTTGAGATAGTGTATTGTTGGTGGTTGCTTTTGAAGGGCAGTGATTATTTTTTCAGGTCCTCGAAATAGAAATTCGTGACACTTGGCACAATCAGAAATTTTATACCAGTTTCTATTCATGGAAAATGTCTTAACAATCTCTTTATGTATATGATTCGTTATATTATTACCTAACGACATAGAATAGAATGCATTTTTATCATATAGGCCGTTCATAACTATTCTGTCATCTTGGTCATATAGGGCGAAAAAATGCTTGACAAATTGTCTCATCAAAGGAATCTTCGTTCCGTTGCCTAGATAATAACTCTGCATGCTCGGCACAAACTTATTCTCCATTCCTATAACGATTCCATCCAAGATCTGTAAATGCGGGAAAACATTCTTCACGGCCTGTATATACTCCTGGGAGTTGGTATATTTCGCACACAATGGATTCCCATCCAACCAAAGTTCGCTTATCTTAAACTCACAAAAATAGCGCAGATATTCCACGTCTAAGATTTGATTATGCCTCAAGTCCAACTTGGTCAAGTGGAAATTAAAAAATTTATCAAACAGGATAACAGCTGTGAGTTTGTTATATCTCAAGCTCAACTCACGGACAGCCAGTTTCGATTGTTGAGGATCACGAATGCTAATACTTGTTCTACTGCAACGCAAGACCAGATCAAAGATCTTTGGAATGGAAATGGGACAAAATATCGAGCCCAAAGCCCTTTCGTTCTCGAAATCGTCCAGATTGAATATCTTTCTTATTGGCTCATACCTACATTGCAAGGCATCTGCTATGATCTTGTTTGTATTCACTCGTAGCTCGTTTGCACCGAGAAATCCCAGGACAATGTCTATATACAGGTCCTGGCCGCTGGGCAATGTTATGGTCAGTCCCTGCTTCACTAAATTCTCTATGGCGTTAATGGCACATTTCGCGAGGAATGTCGTCTTATTCTTGTCCTCGACAGTGTACATGATTGGTATCAGGAGTGCTGGTTCACAAGTGATTATAATGGCGCGCAGGACATCGGTTCGTCTATACACAGCACCGTCAAAGACGATGAATTTGTGCCACAGATCTGTGCGATTCGCAAGTGCCTTTTCACATTTGTCAAAAATTGGCTTGATATGCGTAATCCGGTGCGGTTCCCATGACATTTGATTTGTTGTTGCCGTTGTTGTTGATGCTGTCGACGATGTTGACGTTGATGTCGGTGATGCCATTATTATCGCGAGAAATAACGGTTCCTCCTATTTGCATCACACTTGCCTGATTGACAATATTTATAATGTTATTAATATGTGATTAATAATGTTACAACAGATATATAACAATTACATTAATGAATAAATATCATTACAAACTTTACTCTGATTTTAGAGACATTCGCTGTAGTAACCCTTCTCTTTTGTTTATAAACTTTTGTGATTACTGGTTAGGTTAGATTGTAATTAAGGTTAGATTGGATGGATGAAGCAGAAAGTATCGATATATATTCGATTATTCGATAATCTCGATAATCGGATTGTGACTCACTTCACAGTTGTATTACCTCTGTGCTGTTGACGTATATGGTTAGGAACGTTGTATAAGAAAATACAATAAATTTCTCGACATTGTCGCAGAAATTTGAGGTAAGGAGTCGTAATTCTGTTCAACATTTTATTTGACTTATTTTGAAAAAGGTGATTTTCAGCTACATAAAAATAAAGCATAAACCTACACATTAAAAATTGATCTTTTATCTGCATGTAATTACATATGTACCTGTTAACATAAAGATCAATAGAATAAAAATGTCCTGTAAAATAAAAATGTTTCACTCGAAGGTTTTCAGGATATTGTTTTGTAATTTTATTCATAAAAGATATTATCTTGACTTATTTTGAAGAAAAAGATAAAATTTTCTATCAGTGCTGTATGAACACATAAAGCTTAAGTCATAGTCTATATATTGAATAAAACATACCAAATTAAATATATATTAAAAATTGATTTTATCTGAAATATACCTGTTAGCATAAAAATCAAATACAATTGATAAAATATGAATTCCCTGTCATTTAAATCTTTTCAGAACACAGTTCTATAATTTTATTTCCACGAAAGACATTGTCTTAACTTATTTAGAAGTAAAAAGATAATTTTTTGTCAGTACTGTAAAGCGTAAAATGTTCTATACATACATTAATTGATTTAATTGATTATTCCTACATAATATAACTGTATATCTTTTTAAATATTTTCAGGATTTTATAATTTTATTCATATAAGACATTGTGATAACTGAAGATGTCGAAAGTATTGGACGAAGAATTGAAGCAAGCCTTCTCAAAGTTACACGAGAAGATGGTAGATACTAAGCAAAAATTAAAGTTGGCTGATATACAAATTGAGAAATTGCGGCGTACGAAACAGCGGGCAGAACTCACCACAAAGGAAATTAGCAGTTTACCCGAGGACACAAGAATGTATGAATCTGTTGGTCGAATGTTCCTTCTAGATAATATGAACAATATTAAGGAGAATTTGGATAATAAAATAAAAACTTCTGATGAGAAGATCAAGACGCTAGAAAATAACAAAACGTATCTACAGCGGAGTTTCAAGGAGAGCGAAAATGAAATCAGAGAAATGATTCAGCAAAAGCAGAGCAAGGAAACTTCGGGTTAAATAAGACTTGTGTATTAATGTGTGAATGTGCTATTTCAGTTTTTTCTCATCAATCTTTTGAATCTTTCGGATTATTGTTTGGAATATGTATCTATTGGATATGTAAATATATATCATAAAAAAATCTATAATCTCACATTTCGCACGTTCATATATTTTTTTAATTGTGACATTTTTTTTATATATTGTATGTGAAATAAAATATCGTCAATGAACTTAACCATTTGTAAGAGTTAAATCAACTCGATTGTTTTTAATTATGAAATTGTAAGAAAAATATACAAGAAACAATATTGTATGTATTTAAATGATTATAATTAAATAAATATTTTGATTTTATATTTTAAAAGATATGTGATGCGAGAAATTGTTTTGTATTTTATAACTTGACTTCGTTATCATTCATATTTTCACAAAAGCGAAATAGATAACAAATATACTAAATAATATGTATTACATTATATATTTTATTTTTATTAATAATTGATTGAAAACAAAAAACTACATTGGTACAGTTATTATTGACTTTATTTAATAAATGCAGATAACTAGCCGATAACATTTAATTAATTTCAATAAAGTATTTGCTACTGGCGACATCTGTTTTCGTATTTGATATTCTGGCTTTAAATATGGTCAGAATCACTGTCAGTGTATGTGGTGTGTGTGTGTGTGCATTGCAGATTCGGTAATATAACCTTTTTTTGATCAAAGTTGACCAAAGTTAAATTTCGATCTGTGTAATACAATGTCAACATTAATATTAAGATCTATTGCGTCATTAAATAAAAGTACTCATAATGTCTTTACAAAGGTAATCTTTTATCAAAGTTGTTTCATATTCCAAACAACAATAATATTTCATACATATATTATAAATGCAAAAAGTACACGTACAGGAAAGTTTTTATTAAAAAAGCTTTGTAATAAATAAACACTATGAATTTATTAATAATGAATACAATATATTTTAAATTTCTCGAAATTATTTCACCTAAAAAGACTAATTAAGATATATTATTGTAGTAATTAAGATATATTATCTTAATACTAGCTAAGCGAAAATAACAAATTGTCCTATTTTGATATAGAAAAAATATTTGCATAATCGAGACATTTAGCTTCTAAAACTTTTCATTTTCTGATAACTTACGATTAGACTTAATTTAGAATATATTTGGTTTAATGACACAAGTTTTGTTTTTGTTACTCGTGAAATGTAAAAAAAGATAGAACAATATTTGTGTTAACTTGTGTTATTAAATAGAAGGCATCCCTGATCATCCCTTGTTTTATTCAATGGGATTTATGATACTGTTATAGATGAAATCTATTAGGTGAAACATCAGATTAAGCTTTATCACAAGTGAAAAATTGGGCCTAAGAGCATAAACATTTTTTATAAAATCTGTATGAATACTTTTTGTATTTAATGTATGGGTATAGATCTTATGTTTAATATTATTGTTTTTTTGAAATAATTACATTTTTTGTACTTAAAATTATTAATTTAATTCATTAATCAATTAATATTTCAATTAATATTTTCATCAATTAATATTTTAATATTAATAAATATTATTATAATTAATATTTGATATATTAATAATATCAATTAATATTTATTCATATTTGTTATGGAGTTTTCTCCAGACTTTTTTTAGTAATAATTTTTTGTTTACTCAGTTTAGATACATGAATACGTCAAATGTGTTAAATCAACAGTCTATTTTACCTCAAAAACCTACAAAAATAAAAAAAAAATCGCCAATTACATGGAAAAGCTTGACAATCTCTGGTATTATTGGTGCTGGTCTTGTGTTATATATGCATCACCTTAGAACAGAAAAAGATAAGATTATAGCAAAAGAAAGAAGGCGACAGTTAGGCAAAGCTAAGATCGGCGGCAAATTCGAGTTGGTGAATACGGAGGGAAAGCCAGTGAAATCTGATGATTTCTTAGGGCAATGGGTGTTGATATATTTTGGATTTACGCATTGTCCAGATGTTTGCCCCGATGAAATTGAAAAGATGACAAACGTAGTAAACACTCTTGGTAAATGTTAGAGATTAAAGTTAATTATAATAATTAAAAATACTCTTGTTGTCTTGCATTTGGTTAATAGAGTACATGATTTCTATTTTTCAGAAAAAGAACACAACTTTAAGATACAACCGATTTTCATATCAGTGGATCCAGAGAGAGATACACCCACTGTTGTCAGCAAGTATCTGAAAGAATTTTCTGACAAGATCATTGGTCTTACTGGCAGTATTGAACAAGTTGGAAAAGCGTGCAAGGCATACAGAGTTTATTATAGTAATGGACCTAAAGATCAAGATGAGGATTATATTGTTAGTATATTATTTAGAAGCAATTTAATAAATGTATTTTAGTAACAATCCCGAACGAATTTGATAACATTATATTTTTTTTTCTAGGTGGATCACACAATCATTATATACTTGATAGATCCAGAGGGCTTGTTTGTGGATTACTATGGGCAAACTCATGATGTAGAAAAGATCGTGACTAGTATTGTTATCAACAAGCTGAAATATGATCAATTAAAGGATGAGACTTCTTCCTGGTTTCCGTCATTGCCGATCAAGGGAGTGTTATAAACATTGCAACATTCCTATGTATTCCTATGTATAGATAATTTGTAAGTCAGTGTGCTACAGGAAATGTATGCGTATAGTACATTAATATTAATATTATATATATATATATATATATATTAGGTTGTCCGGAAAGTTCGTGCCGATTTTGAAGGAAAATTGAACGCAGAAGATTTAAATTTTAATATACATTTATTAAATTATATAGGTTAGTCAGCACGAACTTTCCGGATAACCCAATAGATATAGATGTACAAATAATTATTTTTTAATTCATTAAACGTTGTGAATGTAAAAGAAATTAATTGATTTTTTAAAATAGAAATTAGGCCATAAAACTGTACATAAGCTGGATAATAAAAAATTTATTATATTTATTTCCTTTCTTAAATTATTTTAATATACCATAATTTATACATTAATCGGTTTATGTAGTTGTACATTATATTTGTCAATCTTAATACAAATATATACACATTTACATATACATAGTGAGAGAGCTTCGAGGTAAAATGTTTAACCGAATATATTTTTGGAACAAAACGCTTTTATCTTAAAACTGAGAACACTCTTCACATTAGGCAACTGTCGATCCTTCCTTTAATAAGAAATTTGCCAACATTTATTATCTCATATACATATTTTAAACATATTTACTCTTAAAAACTAGAATTTGTTAAATAATATTTTCAATTACATTGTTGCACACTTAAAATAGCTTTTTTTCACTGATAATCTTTCATGGAACATTTATGATAAATAATGAAGGAAATGAAGATGGTATTCTGATCTATTCCGTAAAAACAGAACTTTTATAGCATTCAAAATCCTAATCTACAATATATTCTTTGCTTCCTATTCCTTGTCTTCTTGTCTTTTTTCCTTTTTGCCGTTTTACTGATAATCATATTTAAACGTATAAAATTTATTGTAACGTGTTTTTTCCGAAGTTTTCGTTTTTTCCGAAGTTCATCAATGTTTATCTCGGGCGACGGAAAATAAAAAACTGGATAAGAAGCAAAAAGGCAAGAGTGGTAAGAAGTGGTAAGAAATAAAAAACAGGAAGCAAAGAGCACATCAGAGTAAATTAGACTAAAATTACACAAGTATCTATAAAAGCGTTTTAATGTTTTACGCGTTTATGATACAGCATACTTGCAAATAGGATTACTGATAACAAATTTCTATGATGCACGATACGGCCGTATCAAAGTTCAACAAGCTGCTTTTATTTATTTATACTATTTACGTATGTATAGAAATCACAAAAAGCGGAGCTTTCAACAGTTTTCAGCATTTTTGCAGGTCTGAATCTAGATGTAAGTGTCGCGTTGCAAACATCGAGGTACATTGGGAGATATTTTGTCGGAAATTCCGACGAATCTCTAAAAATACTAAAATATCGAACATTATCTGTACATTATATCATACATATTCGCACGAATTACAATCTACGGATAGCTGCGCGACACGGTATTTCCGTGCAAGAGATGATAGCTAAAAAAGAAAAAGACTCAATCTCTCTTACTAATTAAGATGTGACAGAGGGAGAAAACGCGCGAAGGAACAGACTTCTTTGTCCTTCTCCTATCTCTTTGTTTTTTCAAAAATTTATAATAGAATTTAAAAATATTCCCAATTCTATTTTTCCCTTTTTGGAGAATTTAAATAATACGCGTTCAAATATATGTTGAACGTTTATGAGACAAGTGTTTTATGCGACACATGTTCTTTTTTCTATCATAAAATGGGATGTTATCACGGATATCCGTGATGTTGCTGCAGATTGTGCAATTCGTATGCGAGGTGACAGCACTCGGAGTCACTCCATCGATGATGATCGCGAATCTTATCGACATTCGGCCCTGACGCATCCGACATCTGAGAGAAAAAAAGACAGTCGTTTAACAGAGAATTATTTTCAAAAAATAATTATCTCTTTCTTAAAGAAAATTAAATTAGACAGCTATTCGTACGAATTTCGAAAGCGATTAATAAATAAATCAAATGATCATTTAGGACTACATTCTAAAATGTCTTCTCCGAGGAAAATTTTACTTGATATAATAAGATAATATACATTACATGTATATTACATTTTTAGAGTCTAACTGAAACTTTTATCGAAACTAAAAATACTCATAATACGTGTCAATTTCGATTGAAACCACAGCTCTTCTTTATAAATATTAATTTTAATATGTGTAATTATTGTTTCAATAATTAAATTATGATGTTTATGAAGAAGAAGTACTTACATACTTTTTGGCCAAAATTGATACATATTCGAAATTTCGTTTTTTTTTTATTTCGGTTAAAATTGAATTGTTCTAATAAATTATGATATTTATGAAGAAAAAGGATATATGTCTATATATATGGCCTTTATAGAATTTGTATTTTTTAATTTTGGTTTCGGTCGAATTTTACATATTTTGAATAAAACCTTCTTCAGAGAGGATGTTTTGGAATGTTATCTTAGAGATTACTATTGTTTTTTAGGTCAAATCTATTTTTTATATAATTATTAAAAGAAATAATATTACATAATGTAATATTATTGTAATATTCAAATCAATGTAATATTCAAATCACATACAATTTCATATTAAATATGATTTTGAGAAGTAATAAAATACATAAAAATAACAGACAGAATTGATGTTAAATTTTTACAAAATATTTTGATGCTTCCTGTATATTAAATTAAATAGGATTAATTTACAAGCACGTACGATTTTATTTTATTTTTATTGATTACTTTTAATGATTTTATTTATTTACATAATTGATGGATTGATTTACATAATTACAAATAAAAAAAAATAAAAAACTATGTAGATATTTTTTATGTTATTTGCATTTTTGAGATTGTTTTTGCCCGAGTTCTTCGTTTATAATCATTCCACAGGCGATATTGAATACCAGAGCGCGATGAAGAGATAAAAAAAAGAGATACTTTATCGACAACTGGATTATATCGAGATTATATTGTACTCACGGATCCGTATATACTCAGGCAAAATGATGATACTTACCGAGCAAAAGGAAAGTAGTGATTGATGTGTGTACTTGCTGCACAGAGGCGATGTATGATGAGGATGATGATCTTGTGTCGTCAGTTGCGTCGGCGGCTGGCCATCACCGACGATCTCTAGATAGCCCCGGCTGCTCGCTAAACTACCTCCTCTCGTTCCAACATCTGCAAAATTGCATTGCGAGATTCGTACGCTGTACAACGCGATTTGGAGGGATTTCGTGCATTTGAGAACTTTCCTCTTTGTAGTAACGATATCGACCAGTTTCTTTGGCTGTATGATTTAATCACTTTAAGGGCGCCAAACCGTCGCGATGAATTTGACTTCTCTCACGATGTATCGCATTATACTATTTCTAGCACAGTTTTGAAATATATCTTAAGGCGCCCAAGAGAAAGAGTATTACTACTTTAACGTAGCGAATTTATTAAATTTTGTTATATCCTTACTTCTACTGCTCGTTTAGAGTTTGAACTACACGGAGAGTGTAGTTTTTCTTTTAAAATTTACCCTGAAAATATAGTAGTTCTGGTACAATATAATATTTTTAAAATTTTTACCATGCACTTTAGTAAAATTAATCAAACTTATTTTATATTTTACTGTAATTTTATTAATGAATGAGAGAGATTTACATTAAAATTCTTCAAAATACAATGTTATTTCATGTCTATCATATTTTAAGGGTAATTCTAAGAAAAAATTCTCTCCGTGTACGCATACGATATTTAATTTACTTATGATATCATTTATTACAAAAAATTATTAAATTGGGTAAAATTTAAAAATACATTAATTGTTTGAAATTGTATTTTACTTGAATTTCTGAAAGAGAAGCTCATTAAAATTATTTTGAAAATATTTGGCGGAAAAGTTTTAATCAGTTTAGTTCGTATTTTAATCTGTTAAAAAGAATTGAGAATCAAACAATTAAACGATAAGAGTGACTTTGATCAAACTCAAAACTAAATTAATTTACTCGAATTATCAAGTGATATATCTTTTCCAGCAAACAAATTGTCATTATTCATTGTCATTTTAACATCTTTAATGTTGACAAATGATAACAAATAACGTCAATTTGTTTATTAGAATATTATTTTCTTGACATAAATAAAGTTCTTAATTTTATTTGATACAAAGAAAAAGAAATCAGACATAATAAATTTTATTCAAAAATTGATTTGGATTTCAGTCGCCCCGATTGAATCAATTATTAACTTTAGATTAATCTCGATTCAACTTGTACTTCATCTTTTTTTAATTCTTATATTAGAAATAGAAAATGATAAAGAGTTAAGTTAGAGATTAAAATTAAATTATATTGAATTATATAGAAGTGGGCATTAATCAATTGCTTAAGTTAATCAGAGTTTGGTCAAAGTTGGCTACAAAACACTGCTTGAACGAAACACATAGAAGGACACGACGATTTCGTAGGATTTAAGGGGACACCTTGTGTACTCGCCATCGAGTGAGTGGACCGACGAATAGCGCGATCCTGGTAAAGATAAGAGGGCATCTTCCAGCGTGATTTCCACCACCTGATCCTTCTTGAATGTCGACGACCATTGGCTTTCGAGTTGTTGCAACTGCACGTGCTAACCGAATGCGTCGACGCTCTCTGGCCCCACCGAATTCCACGTAGATGTGTCCATTTGATATCGCGAAGTGTTCTTGATACCTCAGCTCTCACCTCGCCGTTTAGGAAGCAATACAGCACCGCCACGAAAAAGCCCTTCCGGGAACACAGAGATAATACTCCAATCGCCCTTTTGCTCGTCGATTTTAATTCTCAGCAAAGCCTGGATCTTTTTCTCGAACGCAAATCTTCAGAAACCATTCTTCATATAAATTGTAAAGAGATGTGAAATAAATATGATTTAATTATTTTATTTAGTCTCTCAAAAATATCCATTTATTTCCTTTCTCTTTTGATTATCGTATTTCTGTCTGTTTATTAAATTTCTATTTATTCATTTAAAAATAAATGAATATTATATATGTATACATATTGTA